GAGGTATCTGTCTATAAATATATACACTAATATATCAAGCTCTCTCTCTATCTACTCTATCTCCACCTCTATCTCTATCTCTCTAGCATGTATGTAATTCTGCCTTTCCTCTCCTCCAGCAAGGACATAAATCGTGCGGTTGATGATAATATGCTCTCTACTATAGAATGGCTAGCCTACTCCTTACATGGAGAAATCTCCCCATCCTGTGGACTTTTAGGATATTGCTACTGAAGTGAAAGCCATGCTATGATCTTGCAACTATAATCACAAATGAATTTTATAAGAAGAGGATGATTCTTTTAAAGGAGAATCTTGGTAGATTCTTATTTTTACAGCTCATACTATTTCAGTTTAGAAAAAACTGTCAGTCATTATTCTCAGCATCTTATATGGGCCATTTTATCATTCCAGTAATTCTGTAAAATAGGGACGCTTACATCTCCATTTCATAGAGGAGAAGACTGAGGCTTGTCCAAGATCACAGAGACCATGACAAAATTTGAAATTGAATTGAGGGTCAAATTCAGTCCTTGGATAAGGTATTTCTTGCCTCAGGTCTTGCACATAAAATTCAACAAGACATAATGTCATCTGGATTAATATAAAATAATTACATTAATTTCTGTTGAGAACCAACAGTGTGTCACGTACTGTCCAGATTCCTTAAATATTCTTCGCTGTTATTTCGTCATTCTCTCAAAGTGTTCATTGTGAGAGGTTAGGAAACTTAAGGCCAACAGCTACCAAAACATACTGTGAATTGAGGTCATTCCTGCTCCAAAGCTTGTATGGTTCCCATTATTAATCACCGAGGCTATAAGAAATCACCCAGGAAATGTGAGCTTTTCTCCGTAGCAAATTTGGTAAGATTAGCTACAATTAATATACCTCTGCACCAGCAGACCCATCTCCCCAAGGGTAGACAAGAGACAGATGGAGAGATCTTAATGTTTCTCTCATAGAATTCAGGTTTGCTTTTAGCAGCTATTAAGTATTAATTAAGAATTAATGCACTCCCCATGTGTCTGCTCTGAGAAAAAACACAAATGGCTTTTTGGAATTACTTAGATCTAAAGTGCTTGAAAAGTGAGTCTCATTTTGATTGAATTAACTAGAGCTGTTATCTGAAAAGAATTAATCATATACCAAACACTTAAATACAAACTTTTCCTGCCTCCTTTCATTCATTAATTCATATTTACTTATTCCGTAAGTATTTCCTGAACACCTACCATGTGTAAGGCACAGTGCTTCCTTACCTTATAATCTGGCAGCAAGTGAATGCCATGGCTAGCGAGCTACAGTATTGGAGCAAGGAGGGGAAAGCTCAGTGCGCGTCTAGAGGAGGGTCTGAGGCTCCTGCCCAGAGAAATGCGAAAAGGCTTTCTGGGAGAGCTAGCAAATGTGCAGACACCCTGAGGCCGGGGGCGGGAGGACGGCGGGGAGAGTGTGACAGGTAAAAATGGCAAAGACACTTGCAGAGGAAGAGTCCCGTGCGAGGGCAGAGGGGAAATCAGGAACAGGGACTGGCGAAGTGAATGCAAGCTGTGGCCCAAAGACAGGCTGGGGTTAGACTGCGGGGCTTTGAGTGTGACGGCCAGGAGTGTAAGGTTCACCTGTAAGCCAGTGGTCCTCAGAGGGAGAGCTCCAGCCCAGCAGTAGCGGCATCACCCTGGGCCCCACCTCGCACCTAGCGAGAGCTCGCACCTAGCGAGTCCGCCCCCTGGGGCGGGGCCTGAGCAACCTGGAGTTCAGCAGCCCCTCCAGTTGAGGCGGACGCAGCCGACGGCTGGGAACCAGTGCGCGGCGAGGCCCGCGGGACTGCTGTGTGTGCTGTGCCCGGAAACACTCCTGTCCGCAGTTCTCAGCGGGCCGCCAGGCCCCGTGGAAGCGGCGGCTCTCGGGAGTGACCGCCGCGGGCGCCAGCAGCCTCACCCTCCTACCCCGGGGTCTCGCGCTCCTTGGATGGCAAAAAGCAGCAGTGGGGCAAGCCCGGCAGAGGCCCGTGCGCCAAACCTGCCACGCGGACACCCCCGCCCCCACAAGCGGAGAATAACCTGCCCGTTTTTAAAGGGTTACAAAAGAAGAAACCGAAGAGGAAGAAGAAGAAAAAAATGATGAGGAAGGAAGAGAAGGAGGAAGAAAGGGGTCACCAGGAAGAGAAACACCGCGATGAAATGGGGCCTGCCAAGCTGGTGTTTGCTGCCCGATCCTCTACAGAAAACGTTTGCTGACCCTGGTGCAGACGAGGAGAAACAAGGTTCTCAACAACTGAAGAACTCACAGAATCCGTCCTGTTCGGCAATCTCCCGGGGTTTGGTTTGGAGTCGTTTTGAGAGCAGTACCATTGTGAAGCATGAACTCTGGAGCCTCTTGTCTAGTGTGGAGAAAACCCATGTTTGAGTGCTTGGTGGGTGTTTAGATTTATCTCCCTAATATTTAGTTATTGTCTCAAACAGTGCTAGGCACCTGAATCACCCAGTTATCTTCTTAAATGCCAATTCCAGTTTAGTAGGTCTGGATGGGACCTGAGAGTGTTCACTTCTAAGAAGTTTGCGGGGAGGGGGGGTGAGGGGGTGGAGCACACTCTAAGTAGCAAAGATCTAGACTGAACCCCAGTAGGTTATTTGAAAACACACATTTTTAAAGTCACATATGAGGCATGCAAAATAATTCTTCCTCCCACAGAAATCAAAGGCACCTTTTCTGCTGTAAAACATCCAAAGGGGGCACCTGGGTGGCTCAGTTGGTTAGGCGACTGCCTTCGGCTCAGGTCATGGTCCTGGAGTCCCGGGATCGAGTCCCACATCGGGCTTCCTGCTCAGCGGGGAGTCTGCTTCTCCCTCTGACCCTCCCCCCTCTCATGCTCTCCCTCTCTCTCATTCTCTCTCAAATAAATAAATAAAATCTTTAAAAAAAAAACAAAAAAACATCCAAAGGTTCACCAAAGTGCACCGGCCCTTGCTGGTGGCCACTGGCAATCCTGTCCGGATATGGAACGAAGGGGAGAAAAGGAAGGTAATGGATATGGTGGGTGGAGAAGACATGACAGATCCTCCCACAGTGACCAGAAGCAGTCTAGCCTCATGGTTTGGGGACTCACGTTCTCTTAGACTTCAAATCCTGGCTCCCCCACTGATCAGCTGTGTGACCTTACACAAATTATTTCACCCTCTGCCATGACTTCTCACCCATAGATGGGGATAAAATTCCTCAGAGAGTACTCGTAGGGAGTAAGAGACAATATCAGAAAATGCTGTTAATGCCATAGTGAGACTATACTAAACTATAAGGAACACTAAATGGTATCTTTAATTATTGGAGATAAAAAATATATCAGCCTGAGATGCAAAGGAAGCTCTCTAAACATCACAAATCTTAAGCAAATAACCTAAACATTTATTAATGTTACTAAAGGACAAATGGCCCCAAATAGAGCTTTAAATATACATGTTGGTCCATAAGGATTTGTATCTTAAATATTTGGGATTCCTTCCAAAGAAATCACATGTATGTAATGGGGGACATTAGTAGGTGTTTGTTTTTTGACTCTAAAATATGTATTGTCTTTGTTGTTTAAGGCTTGTATTAGATGGTGGATAGACTTTTAATATTTAGAAAAGCAATTAGAAGGCAGAAGGCTTATAGCTTCCAAAGGAAATATGTATTTTATATCCAAATTTTATTTCAGAATTAAAATATGGCCTTTGAAAGCTTTTTGCTATTAAGTGGAAATTTATTATAGAATCACACTTGGAGTAAAAAGTTCAGTTAAATGTCATGTATCTGATGAGTACATACATTTTTATATTTTAATGGAGTGCTTTGGCACTGCAGAGCCAGAGTCTGAGAGGTGTCACATACCGTGCCAATTACTCTTAATTCAATTAGTTGAAACTCTCTAGGTCTTCACCTTGACTTGATGCCCTTTGCTTCTTTATTATGCTCAGCTGTTACCTTATTCACCTTGTTCTTCACAAAGCTTTCCTTTCCACAGTGCTTCTGCTCCACGCTACATAGATGTAGTAGAAAGAAGAAGGGGTTTTTGGTGCCAGAGAGACCTAGAAGCAAATCCAGGCTGGAGTCCGCCACCTGAGACCTGGCCTTACGCTCTTTCTCCAAGACTTGGTTTCTTTGCTCATATTGATAACCCACTTTGCTGGATTATTGAGGATTAGAGATAATATGTGTTAAGTGTTTTCACAGAGGCTGTCCATAGAAAATAGGCAATGAGTATGAGCTTCAATATGATTTGTAAAGGAGGTATCAACTCATGTGCAATCCACTCTAAGAAGTCTTCCTAGAAGCCTGGAAGATGGAAGCAATTTTTACCTTTCTTAATACCCAGAGCTGCATTTTACTCGCACCGGGTTACTTTTATATGTGGCATTTTGGTTATTTATGTGTATGAATATCTCCACTATAAGAGATGAAATTTAGCTAAGATTCGGGTTTCCACATTCCTCTCTGCAACATGCATTTAGCCAGGAGCTTACGAATAACAGCTGCAATAATATTTGTTCAATGAATAGTTTTTTAATAGAGCAAAAACCATTTTCTGACAGAACTCATATCAAAACTGATATCTACCTGATTTTCCCTGATTCCCCCAACTTTTCAATGCCCCACCAAATTGAATTTTATAGACATCAAATGTTTCACAATATTTTCCCTCAAGTATGATTTATTGAACAATCATATGTAATAGGAAATACAGAGAATTACAGCAGAGTAAAAACAAGAATTGTAGCTTGTCATGTTAAAAATGAAATAAAAGAGCTACTGGTTAAATAAAAAGGCATATGAAATTGTTAGATATATGTTGTGTAGCTGAGAATAAAAATGCAAAGCCGGACATGGGAGACAGAACTGCCCGACTCACCCACCCTGGCTTCAGGGGGAGCTCGGGCAACACTGGTGTGTGTGGAAGGGATGGGCACTGGGGACCTCCGCGCTGACTCCCCCCAGTTGGCACTAATTCATCGCTGTCTCAGAGAGAAGGCAAGAAAGAAGAAGGGAGATGAGAAGGAGAGAAGTAGAAAGGGGAGGAGGCGGGAAAGGAGAGACGAGGGGAGATGAGGAAGAGAAAAAGCGCATCAACAGCATGACAATTCTTCGGAAGAAGTGGAGCGTGTTTTCTCCACTCCCTCCAGAAATTCAGTCACGGTGCTTTTTATAAGTTAAATAACCTGAAAAATTAGGGGAGAGGCCATATACAGAAACTGATGAATCCATTATATTTCTCTATTTTTTTTTTTTTTTTTTAGTAACAGTCTATAGGTCCTAAAGTATCAATAGGAGCAAAGCGGACAAGTTTCCTATGACCCTTGAGAAGCAGTGTCTCAATTTACTTCTCCCTGGAGAGATTCTCTAGCTTTACTGAAAGACAACTGGCTCAAATAAGAACAAAAGTAATTACACTTCCCAGTCAAATTCTATTTTAAATGCAGAATATTTCCTAGCTGGTAAATAGCTATTTTTAAAAAGACATTGAAAGCAGTAGTTACAATTTCTTCATAAATAGAAATAAAAAGTCCATTGTTAAAAGACAAAGTCACCATGATGTACATATCTATAAATCTCCCCCAACACGTCATCAAAAATCAATTTGTACTGCTTACATTTAAAATACCAATTGCATTATAATGTCTATGATACAAATCAATTATTTAGCTGAGTTCTACACAAGATTCAGGTGAACCAAAAACTAAGGACCTTATTCACAGAACATTTAAAAGCATTTTATACACAGTCTATGCACAAATATATCTTAAATTAGAACAATGCATACCTAATATGCATATAGAATATGGCTTACACATTCAAGGAGATCTAAGTTGTGGGTTCTAAAATCCCACCACTCAGACTTAAAAGCTTCTGATTATATCAATTTTTAAAATATTGCTTAGCATTGTGGAACCCAAGAAAAAAGCAGGTGCAACAGAAAACAGTATGGATGGATCCTCCTTCACTTTGTTCTTTAATTGATGGCTACTTTTGATTTTTTCCATCCAGTTTCTACCTTTCACAAAGATAGATTCATCTCAGAATCATTGAAGTGTTTGTACAGTGAAAAGTTACAGCCCCTAACTGTGCTTGACCTTTCTTGTCAGCTAATAACTAACAAAAGTTGTTCTTCAGTTTGGAGCAAAGGAAAGGCTCTGCACATGCTCAGGCAAAACATGGCAAGCAAGCTGAGTTTCCAAGAGCTGCAGTCTGTTTCTGTGTAGTAGAATCAAAAAGTCACACCAAATAATACTATCTGTACAGAAAAGTGTGGGTTTCCATTTTCATAGATATTTTTCAATACACACACACATTTCTTGTCACTTATCCCTGGGCCTGTAATATATTTTGTTACGTCCTAGTGGGATCAACACCCCAGAAGGCAAATTCCATTCTCAGTTCTAACAACACCTGTCTCCAACAATGGCTGAAGGTTCTTGTCATCCTGGAGTGTAGGTAACGTGTGACTTGCATTGTGATGACCCCCATATGGGTGACGTTTTCGCGCTTTGAAACCACAGGGATGGATGCAAGGTGGTCCGCTGGTTTCAGGGATGGGTTTCACTGTGGATTCCCAGCTTGAGAGTTACAATGGTCATCGGGTCACAGAGCCAGGCTAAAGCTCCACTGTTATCACAGGACTTCAACCACAGCTTCTGAATAGCCTGACTTCTCATGTTGCTTCCGTGTATTTGAAATAAGGACAATCTAAATACCCCGTTCTTCAGAGCTGCAAAAAAATTGTTTTCCATATTTTGCTTTGCTTTCCTTTTACTTAAAGCCTTTCAATATTGGTAACTATAGAAGTCTGCATAAAACAATACAAGAAAGAAAATTTTTTAAAATGCCTCATCTTTTGCCCGTGTGTCGCAAGGTCACCCGTGCTATAACTGGGTTCAGAGTGTTGAAAATTTTAAACTATCCACCTTTTGTCTTAAAAATTTCTCAGACTTGCTGGAAAAAGCTGGATCAAAACAATCAAAACATTTCCTCCAAGACTGTTTTTTGGAGGAAAGACAATGGCAGAAACACTGGCCAAAAACTCTTGATGGCAATTTTGAATGTATTTGTTTGGCCGGAGTTACTGGCTCAGAATTTATGTTCTTCTTAGTATAAGTTCCTTCTAGGAGTCCATTAAAATGGCCTGAGCCAGGTGTGTGTTGAAAAAGGAGAACATAACGTTGTGGAAAGTTGAGGATTTAGGATGTTTTAGTCCTGTTCTCATTATCCTGAAATAAAATCCAAATGAAAATGAAGATCAAGGTTTAGTCATATACATGCATCAATTACTGTGTGGTAATGTCACATGGGACTTTATAAACCTTGTCAGAAATAAGGGATTTATCAGCATATAATAGATAATTGGTTTTCTATCTTCTTATTTCTTCTCTTTGTGTATGTGCATGTGTGTGTATATTTGTATATTTCAATTCCAGTAAAAATTTGGATTGTTTGGATCAGAGGTCACAAACTCAAGGAACTATACAAGCCTAGAAGACAGTATAAGTGGGGTAAGTGGGCCTGTGTGAGTCACAAGGACTGTAGTGAACTCAAGAGCATTAAGTCCTGTTTAAAGATATTTAAAACAATATTTTAAATCAATGTGGGAGTCAACCAAGCAAATGCACAGACTAAATCCAGCCCACAATCCATCAGGCTTTGACCTCTTCTTAGACGGTATACTCAACACTAAAGAGCAGGCATTGGTAGGAACGGAGAACACTTCCCCCACCAGGGAGTACCAGGTCTGATAATGGTTTGCTCTTGGAGCACCAGAAATCTCTGGCATATCCTTCAGGGAAGACAATATAATAAATTACATTCCACCCTCTTTTTAAATAGTAAAGCAGCATGGCATTGTATATCCAGTTCCAATCGCATTCACTCTAATTAACAAAAACATTTTGAAAAAGTAATCAAAACAAAATAGTTCTGTGGACAGAAATGTCTTAGAAATAATAGTGAAGTTATACAGCAATGTGAAAAGTAGATTCAAAGGTTGATTTCTTGCCCTAAGTATAGTGTTGCACATTGATTGGTGAGGTTTCAATCATGGTGCATGTTGCATTAGACTTCAATGTTTCCTGGGAAAATATCCCATACTGGGGCCCACACTGAGAATGAAGTAGGCAATGGCTCTCAGAGATATGGCCAGGCTGCCATAAAATCTATACTTTCCATGATGGAGGCCAGTAAAAGAATTAGCTAGAGGTCATAAAAGTGTAGTTAATACCTGGGAGCCTGTAGGCAAAATCTGACCTTCACATATATTTTGTTTGGTCTACACAGGGTTTCAAAAAACTTTGAGCCAACATTAAAAATGGAAAGATTTTACATAAAAAAAAATCTCTTAGCCAATGGAAACACCTGGAAACACGGGTCCCTAATTTGTACATGGTGAAAATTTGTTGGAGGCAAAGAGTGGCTGGCTGCCACCTTCAGGTCGGGTGCACTGTGTCCTTTCTGTTTCCAAGACTGACCACTGCTCTCTTCTCCCAGATACTGGGCCTGAGTCACAAGTAACCAATTGTCCCCACTCCTGTTGGTTTTCTACTTCCCCTATTTAAGAGATCTACCTATTTCTTGAAGGCATATAAATTTCACCTACTAAAGGTCATGATTTCTGGAAGACTGTGCACTGAAGGCAGAGCTTTCCCAAATTGAGAAGTAAACTACAGGATTTGGTTAGTGCTGATGGAAAGAAAAATTGTCTAACAGCCTGCTTGAGTTTGAACACCACTGTTTGAGTGGGTCTCAAATCCTTCCAGCTTTGGGGTTTTTTAGTTGAAAAAAAGAAAAAAGAGGCTTCATTAGCTGCCAGTTGAATCCCACCAAAACCTTTTACTGATGAGATGCCAGAATTTTACAGATACGTATATTTTTTGCCTTAGGCATCTTCATAGATTGGACAGTCATTTTTACCAATGTACTGGTAACCTGTGTTCCCTGCACACAATTTTTGGAAAGTGTTCCTAAGTATTCCAGTTCCATATCACAAATGCATAAGAAAAGCTTCTTGTAGACTTTTTTCAGGACGCCTGGGTGGCTCAGTCGGTTAAGTGACTGCCTTCGGCCCGGGTCATGATCCCAGGGTCCTGGGATCAAGTCCCACATCAGGCTCCTTGCTCAGCAGGGAGCCTGCTTCTCCCTCTCTCTCCCTCTGCTTGTGCTCTCTCTGTCAAATAAATAAAATCTTAAAAAAAAAAAAGACTTTTTTCTTTTGAAGCTTCATAATGTGCACTGGATTGATGACATCCAGTAGGAAAGACTCTTGCTTAATTTTGATTAACTCCGTGTCCTAATGGTATTTATTTGACCAAAAAACAAAACAAAACAAAACAACAACCCACAAAACAAAAAACAAAAACTTTTTGTACTGAAAACATCTATAAATACTCCACTGAATTTAGTTTTCCCTAAAATATACCTGGAGGGTCCATCATATATCATCAGAACCTAAGAACTCCTCTGAAACAGCCATGAGCTCCAAAGGTAATAAATTTATAGTCTGGGTGGAGGGTATGAAGAGAAATTGCTATAGACATACATGGGTTTTAGTTGCTGCACAGCCACTCTGCTGGCTTGATTTCTACCCAAGCTTCATATGTAAAATAGGAATCACAATCACCAATTCTGAAATTGTTGAGAGGACTAAGTGAGATTAATACATGTAAGCCGCTCACCACAGGGCCTGACACTTGAGAGTAACCATTAATGAAACTACTATTATCAATAAAAGACAGTCTTATAACCAACTCAAGAATACTGCAAGATGTATTATCTTAAAAGCCAGTCACAGTTTAACTCTTTTGTATCTAAAGCAATATGTGAGGAGCTACCAATAACATCTCAAAAGACTTTGTCTATGGTCCCCTCAGCATTTTCTCTTGTCCCCATCATCACCCCAAAAGCAGGACTCATTATAACATGTGAGTTTTCTTTCTTACTTTTTAAGGAGACACTAAGACATCTCCACTATAAATACACATCCTTCCCTTCCAGTAGCTTGCACTTCCCCTGTAGGCCCAAGACAATGGTTCTCAACTATAGGGTACAGAAATACCACAGACAGGATTATTAAAAATTCTGATTTCCAAGGCTTCATTCCCAGAGTTAATAATTTGGTGGATCGAGGGCAAGCCCTAGAAGCTGAATTTTTAAAAAGAGAACAATTGATGCAAACAAATGTCTATAGATTTTAACAAACATTGATGTTTGTTTCACAATATGTACTTGCTTTGTTATTATCATCCAATGTAAACATTTGTATTTCCTACATGAAGTAGAAAGAGAGATCAGGATTAAACCTCTCCATAGCCTACAGATTATTATTTTTAAAGGACTAAAATGTCTCACTAAGTATATTTTTTATTGATGAGCAAATTAAGCTCTTTGAAAAAGTAAATATGTAAGATTTTGCTTCAGAAAATAGGAGAGATTTTTTTAAAAAGATTCCAGGAAGACAGTGAAATGAGATAACTTTGTCTCTAATGATATTCTACAAACCATTCATTTCAGAAATTAGGTTTCTTGTCTAAAAAATAAAGTTACCTCTCATGTTTAAACTGACAGAAGCCTTTAAGGTATTTCAAACCTATGAATGTGTATCCGCATGTTTTTCTTCAGTGTTTACTACATCTTCTGAGTTCTTATGAAGATCGGATTCACCTACAACATGCAAACAAACAAAAACAAAATAAGCCTGTGGAAAAAAACTAATAAGGTCAGGAATCTAAAGCAATTTAGCCACATGTTGAAGATTCAGTTTTACAATGGATTTTGTGGTACATTTCTCCAAAGATACTAAATACTTCCTTTTCAGACCACGGATTTATAGAGTACAACAAGGCATCGTCTGGTGGTTGTACAACGTTGTGAAGTTGCAATTTATTCTGGTAATACAGAACTGAAATAGATGAGACATGTTTAAACATCTATTAAATCAAACATAAAAATTATGCATGCTTTTCTTGAATTTTTGGGGGTAGGATCAGAGGGAGAGGGAGAGAGAGAGAGAATCTTAAGCAGGCTCCAGGCCTAGCACAAGCCCGAGGTGGGGCTTGATTCTCACACCCTGAGATCATGACCTGAGCCGATATCAAGAGTGGATGCTTACCCGACTGAGTCACTCAGGCACCCCTTTCCTGAATTTTTTAAAACAAATTGTTTTAAACAAATGCTCTAATGATCAGTGTCTTTTACCACACACCCCTTAGTTGCTATGAATTTAAACAAATGACTATTGAGAGAATAGTAATTTTTAAGATAAGACATAATCTGCCAAAACACACTAACGGAATTTATAATCCAAGAATCACTCATCTTGTATATAAACCTTGAAGAAAAAAAAATTAATGTGGAAAATGTGCCAACATTTCTAGAGAGGTTGCAGAGAATCTATCAAAAATAAAAATATAAAGCAAATTGTATAGATAAAAGCATCTTATGTGAAAAAGAAAGTAAACAAAATTAGCAGAAATTGATTTTTGAGTCAGTTACTCAAAATACTTTGATATTTCAGGGATAGTCATATATGATGGCATGCTCTTTCTGTTTGAAATTTGATCAAAAATATACTAAGAATTAAGGGCGTCTGGATGGCACAGTCGGTAGAGCATCTTACTCTTGGTTTCTGCTCAGGTTGTGATCTCAGGGTCGTGAGATCCAGCTGCAAGGGACCTTCTGCACTCAGCAAGGAGTCTGCCTAAGATTCTCTCTCCCTCTCCCTGCCCTGCTCACACACTCTTTCTCCCTCTCTCTCTCTCTCAAAAAACATATATGTGTGTGTGTGTGTGTGTGTGTGTGTAAATTAACAGTTAAGCTTTACACCAGTTATCTTTGAGATAATTTCTTTAACATATATTGTAAGCCTGTTGTCTCAGTTGCAACTGATTTTTTTATTGAGGTTATAAAATTAATATATAAATCTTATGGGGTGTTAGTACAAAGCAAAATTATTTTGTTTCCTGCTTTCTCTTTAAAATATATTCAGGGCGCCTGGGTGGCTCAGTTGGTTAAGCGACTGCCTTCGGCTCAGGTCATGATCCTGGAGTCCTGGGATCGAGTCCCACATCAGGCTCCCTGCTCAGCAGGGAGTCTGCTTCTCCCTCTGACCCTCTTCCTTCTCGTGCTCTCTATCTCTCATTCTCAAATATATTCAAAGGGGAAAGTTATCTTCTATCCCAGGATGAAATTTTCAGGTAGTATCATCACTTTTGCAATCATCCTTAGACAAAAAAACATTGTGTGATACCATTAAGTTGCCAAAGTCTTGATTCTGATATTAGTCTGGTCACATATATTACACATCAATCTTAAAACAAAGATCACAGAAGATTCCTTTCCAACTTTGAGTTTGTGGCAGAGCCCAGAAATGGTGTATGGCAGGGGGAATGGCTGATGTTTCTGTTTCACTCTCCCGCAACGGGCTGCCTTGACTCCTGAGCCGGAGCAAAGGAGAGAAAGGGCTGAGAGGAGAAGCCAAGTTCCTACCTGACCAGCACCGTGGTAAGATGGCTTCGTACTCGCTAGACCTGGCAGGTGTTTGGAGCTAATTCTCCTGTGAACACATTCACAGGCTCTTCAGGGACTTCTTGCCAGAGGCCATGGCTAGAGATGTCTCACCACCTTGCTGTGTGCACGTGAAACTCGGGTTCCTGTACAATGTTCACCACCCCCGGGGAATTCTTTTTTTTTTTTTTTAAAGATTTTATTTATTTATTTGAGAGAGAGAGAATGAGAGATAAAGAGCACGAGAGGGAAGAGGGTCAGAGGGAGAAGCAGACTCCCCGCTGAGCAGGGAGCCCGATGCGGGACTCAATCCCAGGACTCCGGGATCATGACCTGAGCCAAAGGCAGTCGCTTAACCAACTGAGCCACCCAGGCGCCCGGGAATTCTATTGTTGTATTTTTAGCTTCTGTCTGCTGAGGTCCCTCCATCCTTCCAAATATGAGTGGGCCACATTTGTTCACACAAAACACTCGTGAGGCAGTTGTTCCCATAAATTACATGAGGAAAGACTGAAACTTACATAGCTGCCTCTCACATGGCTCATCTGTCACCAGCTACTCTTTTACATTTCACTTAAGAATTAGACTCCACTCCCAATATCCCTGAGGGTCCTGGTGCAGTTCTCTTCTCTTGATTTGAGCTAAAGAGGGAAGCATTTCTACACCTTTCCCAACAGCAGATAGCTCCTTAAAGAAAATCTTCTCACAAATCCTTTCAATCATTAACAACCTGGCCCTTTCATTTGTTTGAGTTGGGTAAGGATCATAAGCATCCCATCATTGGCTTTGAATCTTCTTTGAAATTCCTGTCTCACAGGATTTCTAACATCTTAGACTCTTGGCTTAAACTTCTGATTTAATATTCTGTTACTTAGGACTAGATTAGAACAGAACAGAGTGAAAAGAATAGGCTGAACTAAAAGAGGAATATAACTAATTCACTGGTTCTTAAAATTTTTGAGAGAACCGTTTACAATGGGAAAAACACTAAGGATAAAGAACTCACCAGTAACAAGAGTGGATGAGAAACAAAATCATCAAGTGGGAATAATAAAGCAATTACAATTTACAATCCTTGTTAAAATTAGTCCGTATGTATTCTAACATGAACATATTGTTATATATTGGTTTATTAAATCAGTAATGAGTGATCTGAGTAAGAAAGAATATAAATTAATGCATAAGAATGACAAATTATTATTAATAATATTAGCAGCAACAGCAAAAACAATAACATTTAGAGAATATTTACACTATGCTAAGTGCTTCATATATTTAATTATATCATTTAATCCCCCCCCAACAATTTTTATTGCCCAAGGTCACATATCATCTAAGGAGCAGAGCTGGACCTTCAACCCCCGAGCCATGTACTTCACTACTAAACCAAAGAGTTTGGTCACACAGTGCTAACACCCTGACCCAAAGGGACAAGTTTCCATTGGATTTGAAAGAGTGAAAGCATTCCTTGTTGCTTGAAGAGATACGATTGCAAAGTTTCAAGTTGAGAAGTGTAGAGTAAACATGTCATTTTTCTGACAAGCTACTAGGATTCAAAATTCAGTTCTTCAGAGAAGAATGAGTAGTTTGATAGTAAGAACTGTGAGAAGCATTTTCTAAAAAATAAAACTCTTTTTACTGCCACTCTGTGTAGTAAAACCTGCAGTAGGAGACAGGCTAAGGACTCAGATACGAGGGTCACACAAATCCTACACTCAGGAGGATTTCAAAGCAAAAGTCTACAAGAAGGAATCAAATGTTTTCTTGTTAATACCATGGAGGAGAAATAATAATGATTTGTGACTCCAGGAGTAAACTGTTCAATTTAAAATTCAGCATAAATATGTGACTGGGGTGAGTACCTATGCTTAAAAAAATCAAAAGCTGTAAATTAGTGAAATTAGTGAAAACCCTGTTACCATTTTTGTGTCAGTGATTTCTGACTCTCCACCCTGCAATATCACAACCAACCATCCACTGTAGACATGAGGGATTTCAAATTGCACTGTTTTCCTTGCCTATTCATCCACAACAAGAGCAATAAATTGTCTCTAACCTAGAGACAGCAAACATCACAAGTTTCCTAATTTTTAGTGTTTATGATCAAATTCTTCAGTGGAGAGAAGACTTTTTTTGTATGAGTTTCCATGTACAGAAGATAGAGTCAGGAGAGTATGTCCCCTTTGATTTTGTTCTTCATTTTCCCCATGGAGACGGAAGCTACTTACAGTCTTCATCAAGCTGAATATATAATTGTTAGCAAGTAGTTACCTGCTACAGAAAGCAGATTTGGTAAATACTGGCGGAATGCAGAATCTAAAATTCTAGGAATCTTTAGATGTTCATAATAATAGAATATAAATATTGTTTGACAAATTTGTAGACTGGTTGAAATTGGGGAAAACTAAACCCCAAACAAATAATTATTTCTTCCATCTTATTTAGCTTTAAGTCATAAATCTCAGAGGGCTTAGTTGGTAGTTCTCTTGATTAAGGTTAAAAAATCAGCCTATATAGGCTGATTTTTTAGAATTAGAATAGAGTCCATTCCCAATATCCCTGAAGTTATAGATAGAGGCTAGTTTCACATATCCAGCTATCCTTTAACCTGGGATGAGAAGGGTTAGTGCTCTTTAAAAATGCCTTCCATGATATTTTTTCCCTCTCCTATGTACATCCTCCCATCTAACTTAGGCTGGCTGTGAGGAGAGGCTATTTGAAGGGATGTGTGGAGAGTGTCTCATCTACTTAGAGTTTTTAAAAGTTGTAGTGGAATAAATTGCTTCTCTTGGTCATAATGCAAGTTGTTCCTATTACAGTATGCTTATAAATTGTAAATCCATGCTTTAAAATAAAAGCACTTTAAGCAATTAGTCACACAGCACTTTATTGATCTACAACATTTAGCCAGGATTGTGGGGAGTGATGCGATCTTTAATCTATCAAGACTCATATAACAGGATTACTCTCATGATGGAGGTGAATTTATTTAAAATAAATCATGGGTGCTTTATTATTTCTACATTACTAACATCAAAACTATTATCTTATTCTTGTTGAACTTCTTATTTGATGAGATTTCTATTTCTTACCAGTCTCTGGATTTTCTTTAATCAGCAGACTTGCTCAGCATGTTTTAAAGAAACCTAGCCCAAGAT